TGACTTACGTGCAGGAAGTCCTTTCCATTGTGTGTTCGGTTGTAATATATCATTTTTCATTACGAGTGTAAATGGATAAAGCCGATTGTTACCCATCAATTTACAACCTGACATTACCCATGATCCACTCATAAGAACGCACGAGTTGCCTACTGTAACAGGAACTAGTTTCAAAATACGCTGTTCGAAAGTGTGACACTGAAATGATTGTAGAGAACAATAATATTTAAATGAAAAATGACAGATAATAAATATACTACCATAATAATAGCATTGATATTAAGTCGAACATTGTCTCCGATAGTTACCAAATTGTAATCCCAAAGAGAAGAAATATTAGGTATGATCACATTGTTGCCGATATTTGCACCATATGCTCGAAATAACCGACTTAGCCATTGAGTATTGCCAAGAAATGAACCGATAAAAATTTCATGATCTTCTTGCAGTCTTTTTATTATTTGTTTGCTTATTTTTTTGTCTCCATATGAATACCATTTATATATATTGCAAATAATTATTGTATGAACGACTGGTCCGCCAACAAAACCACCTAACCAATAGATGGCTATGAGAAGACATTTGCTCATACAATGAGACAGACATGTCTTCCAAAATGTAGTAGTTTTAATTTGATCTTCCATCGCTTGTCTAATTGGCATTTGAAATGGCATAGCACGAGCTGGAACACCAATAAAAATATCTCTGTCGTTGCTATTTGTTTCTCGAGTGATTCGCGTTAAATTGCCAACCATAGTATGAGATGCAAGATGACTACCCGGCAAAATTGAACACATATTAGCAAGAGTTGTATAAGATCCGAGTGTTATACAATCTACACGGTGGTTACCCTCAAGTGTCATCTCAGTAGGAACTAATAAAACGTAACCAAAACTAGAAACTCCTGTTTCGAGTTTTAATAAATTTGTTGGATAGGACATGAACTTGGTTATGTCACCGAGTTTGACATCATCTTCAACTTGAGCACCTAGCCAACGGAGAATAAATGGGTGAAGATTGTCATGCCAAGTTGGTAGAAACCAGGCATGTTGAAAACTAGGTACAATTAGTTGACGAAGCCACACCTTATGTAAATATGACCATGATGCAATTGGATATGTCTCACCAGCAGCACAAGAACCAACTATGAATTTTAAGAGAAAGAGAGTGACAAAGCAAGCAATAATTGACCATAAAGTCCAGCAAAAAGCAATAATAATAGGTAGCGGTATTTGTTCAACTGAATAAACTTTGTAGATAATGGCTAAGAGTGTACAATGAATATAGATGAGTGAGATGATTGTAAAAACTTGATAGATCTTGTGCCATTTCGATAATACTCGGTTACTATGTGTCATTAAAATGTCTGATGAAAACGATTTATATTCGTCACCATCGATAATCGTTCGAGATGCGATAAAACCAGTGACTGATGACATAGGGTGAACAATAATATTATCTTGCATATCAACTCCACCAAACAGAATTGATCGAGCACTGATTGAACAATAGTAACCAATTTTAATTGAATGTAATGCAAACGTGTCATTATCATTGAAATATAAAGAGTTTAGAGTCGTTGTATCAGCAATCCAAGTTTCATCACCAATATCTAACAACCATGGAGCATCAATAGTTATGGTATAAATATGTGCAGTAAGACTAACTCGAGCACCACAAAGACGAAGATAGTAATTGTACAAAGGTGTACCAAGTATATGTTGCAGCCAGAATGTATTGTTATTCCATAGTCGATCTAAAAACCACCAACGATAATAGTTCCAAGAAAACACATCGCCTCCTTTAACATTTTCTGGCAATAGTAGACGTGAACATATGACATAGAATAGAAGATGACATATTGGTAAGATGGGAAAAAGAAGTGGACACCATTGATGAATTATCATGATTGGCAACAACCACTGGCAAATAAGGAGTACAATACCTAAAGATTCGATGATAAATGAAGGTGTAAAACGAACATTCGTTTCATGAACTTCCTTGACTACGAAAATGGTCTCTTGTGGGTCTTCGAGAACTAATAAAGGTTCTATAGCTTGAGCCAATTGTCGAATAGATGGATTAGTAAATAAAAGACCAATGTCAACTTTATCAGAGACTTGTTGACGAATCAATGTGAGTGCAAGGATAGCACCCAATGACGTTCCACCAAGTTGTCCAAATGGAACATCCATACGAGGAGATTCAATATGGAAAGCTTGACTAAATATATCTTGTAACTGTTGTTCTAAGGTGGTGTGCGACACATTATTATCAATATTATCAGCTGAGGATGAAAAATCAGGTGGTGGTAGCTGTTTTCGATCTATTTTTCCATTTGGATTCAGGGGTAATTTCTCAAGTATAATGAATATTGATGGTATCATATGAGGTGGAAGATGAAATTGACAATGTTCACGTAGTTCTTCTTCGTTAATATCAGAACTTTGAACATATGCCACTAAATAATTATCTTTCCATTTAGTGACAACGCAAGCGGAGATGGATGTAATATAAAGTAAACATCGTTCGATTTCTCCAAGTTCAATTCGTTGTCCATGTAATTTGATTTGATGATCTTTTCTTCCTTGATAATAAAGAAGACCATTGTTATCCATTCTAACAAGATCACCTGTTCGATAAAATACTTCACCATCTATTTCAACAAGAGCTTTTGCAGTTAAGTCATCGCATCCAAGATAACCAGCAAAGACACCTGCTCCTCCCACAAGTAGTTCACCTTCTTGATCAATAACAGATGATTGCAAATATTGATTCATAATCATACATCCGTAATTATATAATGGTCTACCAATTGAAATGCTCTGTGTATCATTTCTGACGTTCACAAGATGAATTGTGCAATCTATGGTTGCTTCTGCTGGACCGTACAAATTCCATACAATACAGTTTGTTATACCGGTTTTTACAATCAAATCAATTAAAGGAACAGAAAAGGGTTCACCTACAACAATAAACATACCCTACATTAGCAAATGAAATTAGTTTGGAAGTCACTCACCACTGCTGCAAAGTGATCGAAGATGTTTCAAGACACTCGGATTGTTATTTTGCTCCACAGAAGTAAAAAAACTATGCAATAAACTTGGTACAGTGTGTAGATATGTAATTTGTTTCTTTTTCAAGACTGCGGATAAATAATCAAAATCAATCGTTCCACCTGAATGAAGCATAATCAACGTGCCTCCAATCAACAATGTACCAAGTATTTCTTGAACATGAATATCAAATGAGCATCGTGTCATTTGCACAACTATATCATCTTTATTAAATGTATTAATGTATGTCAAAGAATATATACAATCAATAAAGTTCTTATGTCGAACTTGAACCTATGAAAAAGCATGAAACTCAATAATAAATTCGAAAAATTTAGTGTCACCGAACCGCTTTGGGTGTTCCAGTTGAACCACTTGTGAAAATAACGTAGGCTATGTCTTCACCTTTCATTATCGCACTTGAAAGACCTTTCTTATCTATGTCATTAATATTTAATATTGAATCAATATCAAGTGAAACAATATCATCATCGAATTTGGTCTTAGTTAGATGATGAACAAGAATAAGACGACTTCTTGTTTGTTGTATGAGTGCATATAAACGTTGTTGCGGATCTCGAGGTGATAATGGACAATAAACACCACCAGCCATTTCAATTGCCATTATACCAATCACCTAATCAAAAATTAATCTCAAACTCTCATCAATAGTTATGCTTCTTGATCAACTTACCATTGATAAGCTTCGCTCAACACATTGACACACGACCTCACCTGGACAGACACGATACTCATTAAGAAGAGCTAAAGATAATATTTGTACATAATGTAAGAGTTCACAATATGTCAATGATTGTTCATCTAGTTCAACAGCTAGTTTTTGTGGATGTTTCATTACTTGATACACAAATTCATGATGAATACAAGTAAGAGAAGATGGAAATGATATTTGTGTATTATTTAAAGACTGCGTTAAATATTGTTCATTTGGTAATGTTAATGATGTTTCATAGATTGATTTGTTTATTTGATTATCAATCATAGATGTAGATAATTGATGTAAGATGAAATGAAATCGTTGTGAAATCTTTTCCACTGTGTCTCTATGGAATAAGTCAAGTGATGCATTGATTGTACATGAAAGTTGATTCATGTTCAAATCATGATGAATTGAAAGAGACAAGTCAGATGCTCTTAATGTCTCATCTTCATTAATATCGAATGAGAAAGATGCTGGAATAATTTGAGAATCACCAATCATAATTGCATTGCTGCTCATGTGTGATATAAATTCCAGATGTGTATCCAGAAATGCATGTTTAGAAATATGTGGATGTTGATTGAGAATATGTTGAAGTGGAAAATATGAATATTTCATACTCTTTGTTGTTATGTCTTGAATATGTTTGAGTAATTGATGAAAATACCAATGAGAATCTAATTGACATCGTAATGGAATGACATTCTCAAACAAGCCAATGATTGATTTGAGTTCGTCACTATATCGATTATTATTTATGTTCATAGCAATACATAGATCTGTTTGTCCATTAGTCAATTTAAATAGAAAAATGAAATAAATAGCAAATGTGAGATGTTCAATTGATATGTTGTTTGAGGATGCGTGAGTAAGAAAGGCATGTGAGAGATGTTGACTAAAATCAAATGAAATAGATGTTCCGAGATCAGTTCGATGTTCATTTGAGAGACGATATCGATCAAATGGTAATGATAATGGTTGATCAAGATTACAATCATGAAGAGCATCAAGCCAAAACATACTTGCACCGGTCATTGACATTTGTTGTTCAATAACAGAATCTACATAATTAGAAAAAATAATGTATTAGAAAAGAGAAAAGTAGAAGTAGTATTTATATTTACAATCAAGATAACGAAGATTAGTGCTGTCATCATATAATAATTGACCTGTTGTATATGCTTGATTGAGATCATGAAGAAACGCTTGCATTGATGGAAAATCAAATACAGCATGATGAAAATTGAAAATGACTATGTTCTGGTCAGAAAGAAGATGATTTGAAGAGATTTGTTTATAATAAATAATATGATATCGAAAGACAAGACCTTGAGCAAGATCAAAAAGCTGAGGATTACGTTTCTCATTGTGTAAAATCTCATTCAATTGTTCGTCTGTTTCATAAGTAGTTTCGATGATTGAAAACATATCAGTATAGTTTTGTTTCCGTGTAATAACTCGTTGCATGAGTTGATTCATTTCTGTATCGAAGAGAAGTGATGTATGAAGTGAGAGATGTTTGTCAGTAGTGAGCTGTAGAGCATGGCGAAGTTGTTTAATCGATAAAGTATGACCTGATTGAAGACGGTAAACAAAAGCCATATTATAGATTGCTATTTGTGGTTTTTCTAGATCGAATCGAATTTGTTCATCATGCCAAATACGAGCTTGTGCAAATGATGCTGGTGCTAGAATGATATAGTCTCGTCGAAACGAAATATATACAATGGAATTCTAGTTGAAAAATCGATGAATATTGTTCATGTTTATGGAATTCAAAAGTAAGATTTTAGTCTATGACTTTTACGTGTATTAGTAGGATTGCTAAATAGTTTTATGTTAATGTTGATAAGAGA